ATTTTGAGAGTATAGAAACTGAAAACATAACATAGAAAAAAGGTTGAATACAATGCAAATCCAATTAAAACCACATGTTTTGGTAACACAAAGCTTTAGTAAATCTATCATAAGATACATAAATATATGTAAAGTCTATTGTACCTAAATCATATTCAAAAATATTGCAGAAATTACCAATAAAAAACAACTAATATACATTTCAACACATTAAGCACATTTACAATTTTTAAACCTTCTTTGAATCTTATTTTCTTTTTTAAATATTTCCCAAATGATGTTTAACTGAGCAAGGAAATTTTCACAGTATGTCTGGTAATAATTTGTCTTTTGCAGAACGTTTTATATATATATATATATATATATATATATATATATATATATATATATATATATATATATATATATTTGATTGTCTGCAGAAACGGCCATCATAATACAATAACTTGCCTAATTGCTCTAATCTGCCTAGTTAACCCAATTAACCTAGTTAAGCCTTTTAATGTCCCTTTAAGCTGTATAGAAGCGTTTTGAAAAAATATCTAATAAAATATTATTTACTGTCATCATGGCAAAGATAAAATAAATCTGTTATTATAAATGATTTATTAAAACTATTATATTTAGAAATGTGTTGAAACAATCTTCTCTTCGTTAAACAGAAATTGGAGAAAAATAAACAGGGGGTTTAATTATTCTGACTTCAACTGGTCTACTAAAAGACATTAAGAATTCCAATCTCACATTCAGCTCTAGGCATGGGATGATAACCGGTTTCAAGGTTTACCGCAGTTTGGAGAAGTTAAGGTTTTAATGCCGCTAAAATGTACTGTTATACCGTTCCCAAGGTATATGTAAAGGTTTTTTTATATATATTTTTATGTGTTGTAAAGAAATCTATGATTTTCAAACTAATGAATAGAGCAGAAGTCTATAATTTTTTAACTATTTAGCCTGATATGTTTACTGTTCCAAAATATTACGTTTCTTAAAATAAATTAATTGTGTTCAATGGGGAAACTATTATTTTATTTTTGTTTTACCCAGACATTACAAAAAAGAACAGTAATCATAATAATGTGGTTATTTTATAACTATTATTTTATTTTTGTTTTACCCAGACATTTAAAAAAAATAAAAAAAGAGCTCAAAAAACTATGGAAATCTGCTGAATTTTCTGAACATTTCTGCAGGCTTAGATTCCATGTCGGCCAAGTTAGAGTTTGGGGCATCAAATTGGTTAATTGGAAAGTCAGTCGTAAGATTTTGTTATTTGCTTGTCTGTTAAAAGTATTGTTCATCAAAAAATTTAAACTTACAATTTACTCTGCCTCAAGTGTTCCAAATCTTAAATAGTCTCCTTCCAAAAAAAAAAAAACAAACAAAAAAATATATAAAAAATGTTGTAAATTGGTAGTCATTAAATGTTCACCAATTTTCAACACACTTCATTTTATTTTGTGTTCAACAGAGGACAGAAACTTACAATTTTCATTTTTGGCTGAACTATTCCTTTAGAATTGAAGCATGCGTGAGATGCTTAACAAGCCAAAGTTTCTTCTTCTTCTTGAGCGCTGGAAGAGAATGAAGCAGAGTACAGACTGTAGAGCTGTAGCAATAAGCGTCCCAGGAGAATGACTGTTAAAGGTGTGTTAAGGTGAGAGAGAGAGAACAGTCTCGGTTAGATGCAGTTCAAATGCGCCGCAGACCCGGGGTACAAAGAAAGGTGAGAGACTTAGAAAAAGAGACAGAACAAATGTTCAGAGCTGAATTCATGCTGGGACAAGGGCAATGAAATGAATAGTTCTGTTTGGGCACGGCAGAGGGCTGACCCGAGCCTGCCTGCTGCCTCAGGCCTCCACACTGTTTGAAAACCCTTATATTTTTCTCCGTCAGCATCATCGATTACCTCCAGCATGGTGTCCATCCAGGAGAGCAAAGAGAGAGAGAGAAATACTGTGCCTGGTGCAGTAACATGTAGACATAAGAAATCAAAGTCCACTTTTTGCTCACTTATAGGCCTGATAGATAAAAAAAAATACAGTATATATATATATATATATATATATTAGGGATGTAACGGTATCAGAATTTCACGGTACGGTAATACCTCGGTATGAATGTCACGGTACGGTATTTATTGAATCATTTACAGGAAAAAAAAAAACTTTTGAAAATACTCCAAAAAAGTGCCAAAAGTGTCAATGACATACAAATTAGCCATCTATCTGTTAGCTTTGAAACAGGAACTTCAATTTTAATAACAAAAAATTATTAAACCATGTAAAAAAAAATAAAGTTTCAATTTAGTATTGTTAAAAACTCATCACATTTAACATTTAATCACTTACTCACTTAGATAGAGATGGGTTTAAAGGAAAATTATCATTTAACTATAATCTGGTAAAAGCTGGTATTTCTGGGTATTTACAATGTCCCCTGCAACAGAAAAAAACCCTCTCATTTGGGACTGAGGATTCTGGGACAAGAGAGATATGACTTGGCCCATGTTGACAGCAGTGAGGTAACGTTGTGCATTGTCTTTCCCCCACTTGAGAGGACAAACCATGAGTGAGATAGAGATCTCTTTGCGGTACAAGTCAATGTCTGCATCAATCTGAACAGTGTGCTGTGTTTCTGCAGTCCCCATGACTGTTATTAGTCGTATTCCCCAACTTGCAGGCACGTGCACACATAGGGCTCAACCTGTGCAGTGTACATGCCCTTTTTAGTCTTGGATAGAAAATGCCCTTCCAAAACGATCAAAAGTGCCCCCGCGACGCGACACAACCTCCGTCCAGTCCAGCCCTTCAGTAGGCGCGCGATAACACCTCTCTTGAGTATGCGCGCTCAACCCCCTCTCGGCGCTTTACAATACGCGCGCCACAACACAGCTGATCAGAACGCGCGCGACAGCACCGCTATTCAGCACGCGCGCGGCGACAACACCCGCTTTAGGTTCGATCATTTCCATCTTTTTTTCATCTCCGCTACTAGCAGCACACTCCATTTCCGCATTACTGGATCTGTAGCGACAACAGACCGCAAAGGATTATGGCCACGCCGGGGCTGATGGGAAATGAAGTTTCAGCTACCTCCCGTTCGCTTCATTCGCCTGAGCAAATTTTCTCAGAAGACCTATAGTTTTACCGAGTCATGCGACTTCGGTAATATCGAAAAAATTTAATATTGCGGTATGACGGTATTTACAATACCGTTACATCCCTAATATATATATATATATATATATATATATATATATATATTTATATATATATATATATATTTATATATATATATAAAATCATGATTATTTGCACCATAATTGTGCAAGCACTTATGTTTTTTTAGGTCTCATGCACACCACTCCTGCATGCTACTGCAGTTGTATTTAGACCTTACAATCTATTTGAAATTAACACTTTCATCAAATGCAGGTAAAACTCAACTGTGGTGGGTAATGATGTCTAATTACTAGTCAATTCAGCAGGTTATAAGTCATAAATTAAGTTCTCTCTGTTTGCTAGCTAAGGTTGTATGTATAATTTGTGCAAATTTAGCACACATACAGATTTATTAAACATACAAATTAATGCCAAAATTAAAATCTCTTAATTTTTTACAGATCTGTATTTATTCTATACAAACCCCCCCCCCCCCCAAAAAAAAAAACAAAAAAAAAAAACAACATCTAATATTACACGCGCGCACAAAGACACACATGCGTGTTGGGTTTTTATGCTTAATGGGACTATCCATAGACTTTATGATTGATATACTGTATATTCTGTCCTCTTACATCAAAACTATTCCTAAACTCAAACCCCACAGTAAGCATTCTGCATTTTTTTAATTTGATTTTTATATGAATATTAAGCATGACTGAATTTTTCATGTTTATTTCTAAATTGCTTTTACAATGTAGATAATGTCAAAGCAGCTTAGCTTATGTCAGAGGTGCCCAAACTTTTCCATATGTAGTGGTCATATAATTGACTAATTACTTTAATAATGTTAAAAATTAAATATAAACATTACTTTGAATTGTATTAACTAATGTATACCAGTATAACTGTTTTTTTAAATATTATTTTTATTTTAACGTATTGCAATGGAAACATAATCACATTTGTAACACATTGGAGTTCAATGCTGAATACACTAAGCAGAAGCTGCCTTTGCCTTCGTTCGCTCACCATTGTCTGCAATTTGTCCTCTGTGCATTTTAAGCTAAGACTGATTCATTTACACCATTTAAGTTGAAACATTTAGTTTCAGATAGTTTTTTTGTAGTTTAAAAATAAAACAAACAAGTAAAATGTTACATTAAATTTGAAATGGAAATTTCTAAACCAATTTCTAGAAGGGACGGTAAGTTTACCATGGGCCACATTTTGCCCACGGGCTCTAGTTTGGGCATCTCTGGCATAGATGAAGTTCTAGGGAATTGAAACTGCTTCAGTCCAGTTTTACAGTTGAAGTTCAGTTTAGTTCAGTTCAATGTAATAATGTAAATGTCATTGCTAAAAGCCAAAACATTGAAGAGTAACTTCAATGATTGTGCAGGTCCACAATTCTGAAAACAAGCAAGCCAAGTGGCGAGGAACAATCTTCATCAATTGACAAAAGAAAACAAAAAAAAAAAACACTCGAGAAAAAACCAGGCAACCTTGATCATTATAGAATATTAACAAATGAATTTCATATAATAATTACTGACGGAGCATGTGACACAGGAAAACTGGAGTAATTCTGCTCTGCTATAACCAATAATAAATGTTTAAATATTTTAAAATTATTGATGATCCTATTGAAAGGATTTTAAAGCTAAAGCGGTTACAATAAGACAAAAACCATCCTGTTTAGCACAAGTTCATGTTTTGATTTTGGTTTTTAGCAGCGTCGGTTTTGGGCATGAGTTATGACACTTTTTTTAATGGCGGTGCATTTAATTCTTTACATCTCACAGTTTGTTTTCATCTCTTCATTATTTTCCTCAGAATCCTGTTCAGACAAGAAGGAATGCTGCCAGTTGAAGCCTAGACTCTGATAGCAGTGGAGAACAAGCAGTCTACTTCCCGGAAGAATACAAGACTTCTCTGATCTGGTAGGCACACAGAAGAAAGCTCACATTCATTTTCCATAGTATAGACTAGAAGTAACTGCTTTGGGAGTGTTGCATAGTATTTATACAATATGTTATTTGCATGATTCATTTGTTTGAATGCTGTACTTGTAGTATTCCAAGTAGGATACTTTGTTTCCATCTTTTGGTCTTGTAAAGCAACATTTAAGGCTGCACATTCAACACACAAATCACAGGAAATTAAAATGATAATACTTTATTTTGATGAACATTTTATTGACTGTGCATGTTAGTAATAGCAAATGTTAAGCAAACTGGTAATTGATATATGGTTGCAAAGACTTCATTTTAATAATCTCTCAACAGTCTCCTCACAATTTACAAATACCTTAGTAATAATCTTACATACTATTGGTGCAGTTAAAAAAAAAAAAAAAAAAAAACTGTTCAATTTTTGCATTTATAGATTTGTATTTTATTTTTGGTATAGAATATAACATTGTAAAAATTATTCTTTTGCACATGTATTTGCCAAAGCAATTAAAAATGGTGTACTATGCATTCCAGCGCAGTAGTTGGCAATTTCACTTTTTTAAAGTCATGTAAACCCCGGCATAAGGTCCTTTAATCTGCTATTGTTGTTTTAGTTGTCAAGTACTTTAACACACCACATGGAATCACCGTTTTCCCAAAACTGGATTTTTGACACAATTACTAAGACATGATTAGGATATAGTTTGCAAAAGCATGCAATTTGAAATCCATGTTTAAAATATGCATTTTTCAAAATCCCAAAATACTGTTTCTGTATAATTGGTGAAATGACACATACACACACACATAGGGCTCAATTTTAATGTTCTAGGCACAAAGTCTAAAGCGCATGACACAAAGGCATAAAGAACATGTCTGAATCCACTTTGCTAATTTAGGGACAGAAAAAATAAGGTCTGCGTCCTGGTCTAAGGTCTAAAAGGGTTGTGCTTATTCTCTTAATGAGTTATGGGTGTGTTTTGAGGATAACTTATTAAACCAATCAGAGTATTATTTCCCATTTCCTTTAAAGATCAGTTGCATCGCGCCATGGTGCATTTGCTATTTATGTGGCAGACTTTGTTAGTGGAAAAACATAATACTTTGCTAGCGAGTAAACAGTTAAACAAACCATCTGCACAAGGATAAAGAACAAGCCTCTTCCATTCGGCCTATTTAGTTTCTCTTTACTTTACTTTTACACTACTCCTTTGCTTTCGTGGACAAGGAAATAGTGGAAACTCACTCCACTGAAGACAAACATTAGCTTATATATTTAATTTTGTTAAGCAGAAAAATTTGTTACAAACCTTTTTCTAAATGCAGTTCTAATTTTCAGAAAACAAATAAATGCCCATTAATAAATAAAAAAATAAACTTATATCCAAACATGCGTCCTATTTTTATGCACCGTACGGTGATGCATACGTTTACAAAACCTAACCAGTAGACAAATCTAAACCCCCGAGGTGAAGAAGGCATGGAGGTAGTGGTTTTTATATTTATGTGGATGTAAAGATAATTGTGTACTGCTGTATATCATGTGTGTATTAAGCAATGTGTAAGCGTTTGAAGCCCCATAGCTGCATAACTAATGTACTCTGCTCTGGACTTTAGACCAGCTTTTAGTTGGTCAATGGCACGGTCTATTTCAGTTCCTCAAAGTAGCAACTCACCAACAATGCGCCTTAACACACCTCTCTTTTAGACCAACATACCCATGAATCGACAAAGTGGCGCAAGTGGATTCGCTATTTAAACACTGTGGTGCAAAACGTAAAAATGACTGTTTCACTGGTGTGAAAATTGGAACAAAACGCGCCATTCATGTCTTATTGCACCGGGTGTATCATAGGGCCCATAGTGTTTTAGTTTTTATTAAAAGGGAGTGTTTTTTTGAACTGAATGCAATCACAAGGATATATAAAGTCTACTGAATGTATAAAAAGAACAAATACAATTGTGTAACAATTAAACCATGTAATTAAATTGTATTTTTCTTTGAAATTCTGAATTATCCATGTTAGATGAAGAGGCTTTTATTACATGAATCTATTTAATAACTAAAATACATATATATATATATATATATATATATATATATATATATATATATATATATATATATATATATATATATATATATATATATATATATATATATATATATATATACCATGTTTGTAATACCTTTTTTAAGCATCAAGAAACTACTGGATAGGAGGGCTAGTCTTTTATGGGAATTTAACAGTAGTACATTTATGAAAAAATTATAAAAAAAAAAAAAACAATATGAGCTTAACCCATTACGGTATGTGCAATGACAAAAAATGACAAAACCCCATGTTCCATGTGTGCTTCACATGTGCTTCACATGTATTTCATGTGTAATACAGATGACACTCGCAATGAATGATACTAAAAAAAAAAAAAGTTGTTTAGAGTTGAACACAGGGTGTAAGAACTGCTTTCATCAAACACCAAAAACACAGTCAGCTTTTAAGAACCTCTTTGAATGATATCAAGAGCCACTTGAATTAGTATCGAGGGTATGTTAGCAACTGGCTGCAGATCCTGTTTTCCTCCCTTCCAATTCTAAATGTGTTCTCATTTTAAGTAAATACGGACTCCAATCTCCACTTGCTCCAGTCACCCTAGGAATGAATGTGCCCAAGGGGATGCTAGTTTCTCATTCAGGCCGAGTACGCGGCGGGGTGAGGGTGTGGGGAAAGAAGTGTCTGTAAGTGCACTTGAGCTACTGAACTCACGCAGTGCGACAGTCAAGTGCACGACCAGCTAAAAGCCGCTCACAGTGAAAAGACCCTCTTGAAATGTTTGTCTGAGTCTCATAATTTCCCCCAAATACGTGCATTGTAGACTCATTCCCGTAATATGAGCCGTTTATTACAAACTGTCATTCTTTGCATGGATGTTTGACGGAAACAACAGACTGTGGGGGAAGGGTTGGCTCAGTGTCTGGAAGATGGGAATGGAAGAGGTCATTAGCATTCCAAGAGAGTGTTGGCGTCTGGTGGAGCACAGCCATGCTTGGCTGCCTGGCACGATAGGGCAACTTGGTGGCCATTAAGGCAGTGGGGTTTGGGGGTTAGGGCCCATCGAGGACACTGCCACCCCCTGCATGGGAGCGATGAGAGACCATGGGCAGGTGGTCTATCAGGGACAGTGGGCTGGAAGTCCAGGACAAATTGGTATAGGGAGGCTCATTTCCCAAACTCAGCATGAGAGATGGCATAGCAACTTCATGAGAGTGTAGAGCATTGAAGAAAAAAAAAGATAAAGAAAGAAAGATTCAAAGAGCATTGACTTATTATTGATGGATTTGCCAAGAAATCAGTCAGTGGGGTAGTTGTGTTGCTTCTTTAAATTTTACACTTTGCTATGCATGTTTAGAAAGGGGTCATTGTATGAAAAAAGGTGTCAAATGTATCATTGATGTCCAGATTGATGTCCAGAAGTAATGGCAGCCAAATCTGCACACATTGATCACAGTAAACAGTTATGACAATAAATATTATTAGAAAGATTTTTGTCTTATTTTAAATTGTAATGTAGGCTCACTTGAATTTTTTTACACCTAGTATTTAAGATTAAGGCTCAATTCCAATTCTACCCCTTAGCCCTTCCCCTTACCCCTACCCCTCGTATTGCACATTTACGGGAAGGGCTAGGGGTGTCCCCCTTTCTCTTTATCTTGAAGGCGTAGGGCTAAGGGGAAGGGCTAGATAGCCCTCGGAAGAGAGATTTTTCAGGACCACACTCGAAACGGGGTAAGAAAATTTCCCTGAAAACACCAGTCACAATGGCTGCATAGCTGCACCTGGAAGTTAGGAGATGCACAAATTAGTATATTTTTTGATCATTACAAATTTTTATAACAACCAAACATGTTTTAATTAATACATTCGTAACCTCATTTGTGTTTTGTCATCATGTATAAAAAAAACCCCTCCAAAATCAAAACAGCTAAATTTCGCTATCTATAATTCATAATAATAACTCCTGTACAGCAGTCCCACAGCGTTCTTTCACTCAGTGACACTCGGATACCCTGTCAGAAAAGCCTAGTGGCTGAGAATGAGCTTTTAACAGTGTCTGCTACAATTTTAATAATGTTTTTGTGTGTTTACATGGATAAATATGGCCACAGTGTAAATGCACAGTACAGTTACAATCTTATTGCCACATTATACTGTTATAATAACATGATATTGTTGCCTTTAGTGATTTCCTGAAGATAAATACCAAAAAATAATGCAACTTGAATAACTACAGCAGTCGCGATCGTCTGATCTTATATGAAACAAGAGATCACGATGACGTGTGCAGGTGCTGTAGTGGTGTCCCATTACTTAGGGGTAGATTTTGAAGCCCTTCCCCTTCACACTCTGTTTAAAGGGCCAACAGGAAAGGGAAGGGGTATAAGTACAAAAATAGAATTGGGATTGGGCCAAGTTTTCACTTGATCTTTTAAAAACTATGTTAATAATGTATGCTAATGTAGATTTTTTTATTATTATTATTTTTACAGCTGAAAATTGTGCTGCTTAATTTACATTTATTTATTTATTAATGGGGGCATGGTGGCTCAGTGGTTAAAACTGTCACCTCACAGCAATAAGGTTGCTGCATTAAGTCCTGTCTGGGACAGTTGGCATTTCTATGTGGAGTTTGCATGTCCTCCCCATGTTCGTGTGGGTCACCACAGTCCAAAAGACATGGAGTATAGGTGTACTGAGTAAACTGAATTGGCCGTAGTGTATGAGTGTGTGTGTGTGTGTGTGTGTGTGTGTGTGTGTGTGTGAATGAGAATGTACTGTATGGGTATTTCCCAATACTGGGTTGCAGCTGGAAGGGCATTTGCTGTGTAAAACATATGCTGAAATATTTGGTGTTTCGTTCAGCTGTGGTGACTTCTGAAATAAAGACAAAGCAAAAGGAAAATTAATGAATTATATTTATTTATTTAT